GACTGTCGCGGGACCTGCGACGAGCTGTTGCAGCTGCGTGGAGGGAGGCCGCGAGCTTGGTAGGGCAGCGTGCCAAGACGAGCGCGAGCAGGGCGACCGTGGCGGCGCGATGGTGGAGAAGATGCTACTCCGGCCCATTCGGCGGTGCGGCGGCAGTGACCAGGGGCGGCAAGGTTCAATGCCCATATGTTGTAACGGGCGGGAAAAAATTTAAAATCTACATTGTGTGCCTTTACACAACACTTCTTATATCCAATTTTGGCAAACGTTTCTTAAATAAGATTACACTGAACTATCGCTTTTTGGGCCATGTAACTTGAACGTGAATAAGCCATCCTAATCGTTTGTGTGGACCAACTTCAGCTCGACACTTTCATCTCATGAAAGAGTTGGGGTGCATGGAATACATGGTAGATTAGCATGATTTTTTTTATTTTTTTGAAAAGGTGATTTTTTTTCTTTAAATTTGGACAATAGTTTTTGGATTTTTTTAATGCAATAATTTTTTGGAGACGAACATTATCTGGTTAATAGTTTTTGGATTTTTTTTAAAATGGAATGATTTTTTGGAGACAAACATTATCTGGTTGGGAAATTGCACAGTGCTTTTCTATTCTTATATTGGTTTGCGGATCAATCGATTTTTAAAATATGAAATTATGGATGATGCTACGCACGAGTAAAAGCAGCAGGCTGCTGGCCTAATTGTCCTGACATTAGAGAGTCGAGCTCTAGATCAAAGTTACATCGTCATATTTTCCTCTAGCCGAAGGTAGATCAAGGATACTGGCTGCTACCACACGCCAACATAGAGCAGCAGTGCATCACTTCGCTTAAAGAGGCGAGATGAGCAGTGCAGCACTTCAGCTAGACAGGTGAGTTGGGACGTTACAAGTACAGAATTAACATATTATTTTACACAATTCATGTCAGCGATAGATCTAGCACCAGCATTGGTGGATCTATAATCATTCTTGTAAAATATGTCTTCACTTGTATCAATTATATAAACTCACTATGCAATGTCGACAGTAAAACCAATATTAACCAATGCTGGTAAATTCAATGCACATTTAGTACCAGCCTCATCCACAAGAGTACATATCTACTCCCTTCATCCCATAATACAAGAACGTTTTTCAAGCAAAAATGTTCTTATATTATGGGACGGAGGGAGTAGATTTTATTAAAGCTAAATACTCATGTCATTTACAGCCACCAATATCTAATTGGCCATCCAATGAATTATGAGGCACGCTTTCCTTAGCTTCATATCTAAAACCACCATCACGGGCTGCCAGCCAGTAGTAGAGAAGCTCATTTTTCATAAATAGCACATGTCCTGTTGAGAGAAAATGGAACTTAGCACCAAGTTTCCAGAGTAGCTTACATAATCAATCTGCACAAATATCTGGAGATCTTACATAGCAGTTTTAATTTTGGTTTTGTTGATACAACTGAGGAATTCTAGTACATCGGCAGGTATGTTGTCTTCATATTCGTTCGCGTTGAATGCTAGCAGTTGTCCCAAATTTTGTTTTCGGAGTTCGCATCCATCTTGTACAACCATATTTTTGCAAACGAATAAGACTTGCGTCACATGTGTAAAATATAATATTCGGATATTTGTACAGCAAGAAGCACTATGGCAGGTAACACTCTTTTCCAGGATAATAATTGGCGTCAATTCCTTTGGATATATAGAACCATATAATTGTTTCAAAAGGTCACCATTTTTCTGTTCACATATATTGCTGGAAGATATTCTGGATGGAACATTAGAAGTTTACCGTGCCGCCATAATGGTTACTACTTGCTTGCATCAATTCAGATTTCTACTTGCTGCAGATAGTTTGATAAAGGAAACAAGATGGCAAATCGTACAGATCGAAGAGGTGCTTTGCTTGAGCCTATGGCAATAGACCAATTGCGTTAAATACTTTCTCAAATCAATTTTTCTAGTTTAAACATCAGTAAACCCTGGCTGTAAATCACTGTAAACATAGCTCCATCATAATTTACACAAAGAAAAAGAGATACCTTCAGCGAAGTCGGTCTAGGCGATGGCTGATGGTCTTCCAGCAAAGTCGGCGGAGGCGACATTTTGTGTAACGACAACAAAAATTGAAGTTAAAACTCCAACAATTACCTTGTTCAAACAATATTTCAGATTTTCCAAAGATGCAATCAGCACGGAGTTCAATCAAATAGGGAGCAGTTATAACAATACAGTAAATAGTGGAGTGACAGATAATCTTGAAAAGCTACTGGATGGGCCCATAGTGGAGTGATCTAGATGCTTCTTTCAAGATTATTTTGTCGGCAAGAGCAGATCAAGGCTTTAATTACTTGCTAGTGGCTAGCTGCACAAACTAAAGATTCAAGCATACAGATCGAAGATGTGCTAGTTTACCTAGTCGGCAAGAGCATATCAAGGCTTCAAGTAAATGCTAGCATTAAGTTAAGCTGGTGCTTGCTGCAGCTAGCTGCACCAACTACTGATTCAGCCTATGACAACACAAAAAGATTCAGACAAATACAGATAGTAAAGGTGCTTGCTTCAGCCTATGCCAACACACAAATTTTACAATCAAAGCCTTGCTTACTTGATTGCATCAATTCAAACTTCTACTTGTTGCAGCTACTTTCACAAACAAAATAAGATAGCAAAATAATATAAAGTTTCCATCCTATAATTATAACTGAACTTTGGATGTAAATCAAAGATAGCTAATATAGGACCTGATCCACGCTTTCAACATCAGTGTTATGTACCACAATCACAACCAGTAGTAAAATAAGACCAAAGACACATCTGAAGCAATGAACGTTAGGTTGCAGAAAACAAAAGACCATAATTTCAATACCCCTTGTCTACATACCTCAAGTGAAGAACCAGCCGACAAAGTTGCGGCGAACTGTGCAACACCGTCGGACGGCGGATTGTCTTCCAGCATTGGGCGGTGTTCCGACAAAGTGGGCATGCACATTTAAATATATATTTACAAGGGGTAGGGGCGGATGGAACATATTTCTTTCATAATATTATCAGTCCTAACTTTTTGTGCATTTATAACTGAAGTGTAGCATCTATGAATCTTTCAGACTTGAATCAAACAGGAAGCAAACAAGAACTTGTTCATAAACTTATTTGTTCATGGATTCACATCAAATAGGGAATCAACCAGGAACTGGCAAACATTGGACTAATATAAAGTACAGGCAACACCCAGCTTACAGAGATTGGACGCCCAAATTAAACAGAAAAATGTTCACGCAACGTTCGTACACGTCCAGATTACAGACTGTTTTTGATTTCTTATAAAAAGGGCAAATCTCCAAGCAATATCCAACAATGTTGGACTAATATGAGTACAGGTTAGTATCGTCTTACACAATTTTGTTCCTTATCCCCTTACATCATTTAACTACACCAACTCTATGATACCCAGATTAAAAAAATGCTATGAGTAACAGCTCAAGTAAAAAATCAAGAAAATTGAACCTGATATTCAATGAAGGGCAGTGGACATGATGAACTTGTGCTACTTGTGCCGCATCACAACCTCCAACATCATTTAATTACCTGAATACAAACAAATCAAATCTGACCCTAAATCTGTCTCTGTAGCTAATAGAGAGTAAATCTGTCTCTGTAGCCAATAGAGAGAAGCAGAGTCTCTCACCTCGCCCGGATCTGCTGAAAACCAGTACTTGGGGGACAAAGAAGTTGGTAGCCGTGACGACGATTGAGGTGCAGGGGAGGCAGTACTTGAGGTCCTCCACGCATCGCCCAACTCGTCCACCAACGCCGCCCGCGCACGCTCGATCCTCGTGGGCCTGTGGGGAGTAGGGGTGAGGGGAGGTGGGGACTGGACAGGGATGGAGGAGGGAGAAGGGGAGGATAGAAGATGGAGAAGAGGGGAGGACGGAGCGCCGGCGGGCATGTCGTCCACCACGGTTGGTCCTGGGAGGAGTAGGGGTTGGGGGAGAAGATGAAGAAGAGGGGTGCACGGAGCACTAGCGGGCACGTCGGAGAGGCGGCGGCTCCACCCTAGCTCGCTTGGGGGGAAGGAGGAGATGGATGCGAGGAGTGTAAAAAACAAATCGTTTTTTTTTCACTCAAAAAAAGGAGCGCGGGTTGAATAACAAAAACTACAGGGGCTTTTTCGCAAATTGCCGCGACGGTGAACCCGGAGACCCAATCCGTGCTTTATTATTAAGGAGAGATTAATCAGTGCATGATTCGTGGTTCATCCATGACACGTGTAAAGAGAGAGAAACGCAAACCCAACTTAGTTCGCCAATATTTATTGCCTTCTTTGACGTGGAGGAGTTACCAAAATTAAGAAAACATATGGTACTTTTTTTTAAAACCGAAAGACGTGGTACTTAGGCTAGGAGCAATCTCTACTCCTAATGGACGAGTTAGTGAATCGTCTCCGCGGTTTATTTTCGCTGGGTTTTTTTTCGTCTCTCCTCCCACCACCCCCTCCCACCCTGGTTCACGGTTTATTTTCATTGGTTTTTTTTCGTCCTCTCCCCCACTTCACCGGTTTTATCTCTTTTCAAATTTGTATTGTTATATCTGCCCCCACGGAGTTTTATCCAAGGAAGTCAATCAATCAATCAATTAATGGAAAATCACGGTGTAGATGGTAATCAGTCATTCGATCAATTAATGGAAAATCACGGTGTCCTAAATTTTTGTCACTTTCCATCCCAAGGCCCCGAATTCGTCCTCCACGCGCCGATCTATTCCTCTCCCGATGCCTCTGCTCCCCACCTCCATCGTCATCGCAACCACTAAGGCCATCGCTATCTGTCCCCTCTCGCGTTTGTTCTTCCTCCGATCGATGCATCCGCTCGTGGGGGCGTTGCTGGTGGGGGCCAGGGAGCGTTGGTGGTGGCCGTGCTAGGGCCTGACGGCGCGTCATGCGGCTGCGTGGGCGGGCGCGCTGGAACTGGCCGTGTCGGTAGCGTCGTTCGCGCCGGAGACCATGTTCATGTGGGTGCTGGGCAGCGGCGGGTGCGCGGCCGGGTCGGTGCGCGTGCCGCTCGACGGCGGCGGGGACGATACCAATCTACTCCGCCTCCAGACATCACTCCCTCCGCTCCTACAGTTCGTGCCTCTTCCTCTAGCAAGATCTGCGGTGGCTACACCTCCCGAGTATGTCCTTGCGCTCTTCCTGTCCCATATCGCTATTGCTTGCTCCCGCCTCTATAACCACCATACGAAGCGCCGGCGGAGCTTACACCTCCTCCAGCCGCCTCATCCCCAGGTGAGCCCCCTCAAAGATCCATGGCAGCACGGGCGGTGACACAGAAACACATAGGAAGAGGCGGCCAGTTTCTTCAATGTATTGTAGACCCGTTATTGATAGGAAATAATAACAAAAGGGAAGTATATGTCACTAGACTTACTAATCATTTGCCACTCTTTTCTTCCGCTTTCCAAATTCTTTTCCCTAGGGACGAGATGTTATGAGGTTCCATGACTGTATTTCTGGTAAAAGAATCAATTTAGCCCAATTATGTTTTCTTGTTAGCACTTGGTAAATCTTGCAGTTAGGCAAATTATATGTACTCCAACTGTTTAGGATAGGTGGAGCAGCCTAGCTCCATATCTCACAATAAACTCATGTTATGTCTTGTGCTACCACGTTTGTGTTTTGTAAGTTGAGAAGCTATAACTGGCTATTGGCTATGGTAGTTTCTTGGCGGACTTTATTTTTTTTGCTGGTTCTGCTCAACAATTGTAGCTTGTGAATTGCAGGTCATATCTGAAGATTTACCTACTATTATTTCTGATGTTTCATTCCCCAAGTCTATGATGCCTAAAACTTTAAATGTACGTGCTTCTAATTTTGTCCTGTACAAAATACCTAAAACATTTCTCAACAAAGGTGATAGGATGTCATTGCCATTGTCATTGCCATTGCTAATGCTAATGCTACAATTCTTATTGATATGGGTCATCACGTTTGTTTTTCAAAAGAAATATAGTAACTTAGTATAACACATGCTCTGGCACTGATCGTACAACTTTGCATGAATACTCCAGTAGGTCGACCCCTCTAATTTATGCCATGAATGTAAATAAGTTATACTATTAAACTGTCTGGCCTTAGTCTTTTATGCATTAATTATTAACTAGGAATGAGATTTTATGAGGTACCGGACATAAACAATTGTAAATATAGTAAAATCTTTTTTTCTCTATTGAGGGATTTCACTCATTGTTGTGTGACAGACTGAGAGTTGTGCTTGCTATCTCCAATGTTCAGGTGGAAACTACATAATCATATTTGCTAATTGTGTGGGAAAGCTGGGATTTTTGTTGGTATGCATGTCAGATACAAGACTAACCAATGTGCATGTATTGCTCAAATATTTCAGTGGTCCTATTACATTACTGTATTTAGTAAAAACATGCTCCGACTCTGATCGTACAACTTTGCACTAATACTCCGGTAGGCCGGCCCTTCTAATTTATTCCTGAATGTAAATAAATTCTATTAAATTGTCTGGCCTTATTTTTTGCGCATTAATTATTAACTTTTTATTTTTCCAGACAAATGTGGCCCTGCTTGATCTTAGGTTAATAATTTTATATTGTTGGCGGATTAATTCATATAGCTCTTTAACTTTTGGAAGAGATAACTCAGATGACTTATGAGAAGATGCTCTGATAGATGTGCAATGTACCAAAAAAGAGTTCTTTTGGCAACATAATTTCATGTAATTTGTGCGGAGCTACCTTGAAAGAGCAATAAAACTCTAGAAGGAGCAAGGACCACCACATGGTGAACACTTGCACCTGTGCATGAAGAGCGCCAGCCGTTGAATGGCGTGGCACATCAAGTCAGGGAAACATTACTTTCTTCACTGGTCTCCAATGTGTGCTTTTGCTTTCTCCCTCTTCCTTATTTATTAGAGCTTTTATCAATATATGTTAAAAAAGGCTCTATGCCTTTTCAATCAGCTATTTTGTCAAAGTGGAATTTTGTGAGTTTATGGATGAGAATTAACAAAGTAGTTCTTCCATATTTGTTACGTATACATGCATATAACATGTATCATATTTGTCGAAGGTGCCATGGGAGCTAGCTTATATTTCAAAAATACCAGTACATCATGTTCGTCCCTGAATATATTGTTCGGTTTCCTTACTGTTGTCCAATAAATGGTTCAGTTTCCTTGCTGCATGGTTTTTCCAGATGTGGCCTATTTTTTCAGATGGCTTACCATCTTTATACGGCTTCAACGCTGTGAAAAAACTTGCATGAGATTACAGTTGCAATCTATTATTTGTCTGATGTTTACACAGGCGAAGTCACACGAGGCCATTGCGGATGTGTCCCATGTTATGTATATTACCACCGTTCCTAAGCGTAAGTCTTTTTAGAGATTTCAATGTGGACTACATACGGAGTAAAATGAGTGAATCTATATTTTAAAATATGTTTATATACATCCATATATAGTCCTCATTAAAATTTCTAAAAACACTTATATATCGGAATGGAGGGAGTAAAATCTAAAAGAACCTGATACAACAAAAATCCACCTTTTCGAAAAAAAAATGAAAAAAATCCAACATGCGTATTCTAATCTACTGGTTCTAACAAAGATGTGTTTGTAAAAGTGATCAGATATATTAGGCTATTGTACTGTAGTATTCTTGTATCATCAAGAAAGAAGTAAATGTACATTCTAGGTTTGGATGGAACAATTATCATGAAAACTAGATTATGTTATTTTTAAAAGGCGCAGATACTTCTCCCAGGTTATCATTGAAACAACAATAATGCTAGAGCCTTGAGAATTGTGATGGAGGGGGTGGGGGAGCAGGGAGAATGATGACGTGTTGTCTTTCGTGCAAGAGGAGAGGGTGATTAAGGAGAGACACACACTACCTTTCTTGCAAGATGAGAAGGTGAATAATGAGAGACACGGGGAATGAAGCGGTAGAGGGAATCAGTATTTGTCGCTATGAATGGAAACCACGTGCATCCCTGCTGGACACATAATTTTTGAATCCGAAAAATTGTTTGATCATTCTGTCTATTTTTTTAATCTCACTAAGATAGGTAGGCGGTTGCCGCTCTTGTACCTCGTTGCTGGCCTAACACGGGCTCACCTAGAACACGAGTTGATTTTTTTTTGACAGCCACGAGTTGATTTTGTGATAAGAGTGATGGTTGAGAGTGAGCGGGATGGGGGTTGTGGTTGGTCCGTTCAATTATGGTTGTCTGAGCGTAATAATTTTTCTACTTTTAAATTTAGAAAAGTACATTTTCATTCGAGATGTCTTTGCATCAAATCGCATGAGCGAGCGGTTCATATATTTGTTTCATCAAGTCGTACAATTTTTTGGTTAGGATAGAAAGGTAAATGCATTGCTCGGTTGCTTTAAGAGACACGGTAGCATATCAGTTACATGCCTAACAACAGACATCCTTGTTTTGTCGTGGTAATGCATGACATTCCACTG